TCTATTACACAAAACTCGACACGCTAATGTCTGCTCCTTCACAGGTGTCAAATTGCACAGAAAATAGAAAGTCGAGTCTAGCATTTTACTGAAAGAACATCCAATAAACTCTTTTGCCTATTTCTAAATTTTGGATAATTTTTCTGACAAAAGTGACAGCAACTTCTTTTCTGGTATAATATTTTCGTATTTTGCATGTATCATTTATTATATCTACCTTCTCATACAGTTTGGGGAAAATGCATTGGTAAAGTTCCATAGGAGAACTTGATTTGACTATTAAAATGCTAAGATGATAACTAGATTTTCAGATTACTGGTGTATTCTCTGCCTTATATAGACATTTAAAAATAATTTGACATTTAACTTTCACATTATTTAGTGAAAATACAGAAAATGTATTTATTACTTATTTATATTAGATAATATAGATGATTTTTTCTTTAATGGTTTTTAAAATAGTAAACAAAGAAAACCTGAAGATCCATTTATGTATGCAAGGAATTAGTGAAAAAATAGTGTGTTGTTAACATAGAGGAATATATAGACTTATTTTGTAATAATTAAAAATGATGATCTAGGCCTGCATCTTTTAAGTTTAAGTAAAAATAATTAAGTTATAGAGCAGCAGGTGTGGTTTGACTCCCTTTATACTGTTTAAATTGAACTGTCACTAGATATTTATTAATGCAGCGAAACTAAACTTGTTTAAGCTCCCTGAAGTGAGTAAGCATTAAAAGTGTTTCACAAGATGATGTTAGAAGTCAGGTATTTATTAGGCTTTTTGAATCAGGGCTCAAGTGGTGTTAGGAGGATCTTTCAAAGAGAAAGGATTTGCAATGATCAACTTTCATGATAAATCATTTGGAACTGGAGGACTTGGCAAAGTGAAGGTTTTGAAGTCTTAATGAATAATGAGTACAAAGACAATGCACATCTTAATGAGTAGTTGTTGCAGATAAGTGATGTGTTTGCCTAGGTGAACAGACTATTGTCTCCAATAAATTGATCTGTAGGAATTTTCTGAAGTAAACAGTGAAGTTATTTATTGCCTTACATCCTTATTTTTCTTAAGGAAATGTTTCTTGGAGGAATCAACTACATCAAACTGACATAAGTAATCCATAGTTTCTGTTTTTCCAATTATAAATGCGTATTCTTTTTTTATTACCAACACACCAGAAAAAAGTTTACCAACACACCAGAAAAAAGTTATCAGTTGTGATTATTCAGTTTTGTAGGCTCATATATGAAGTATCCTCTTTAATTTTCATAACAGTTCTGTTAACAGAAGTAATAACTGCATTGTACAGTAAATAAAACTTAGCAAATTTGATAATCAAGTACATATAATCTGATTCCAAAGTCCATGCTGTTCTCTCACTTAATCCTTATACTGTACTGTGAAATAAACAAACAAATGAACATACAAACTACTGTGGGAAAAGAGTCAATTTCCCTAGAAAACCCATTAGTTTTACTGTTAAAATTTATGGAGTGAAATTCTATTTGCAACTATTTTCCCTTCTTCCTCCAAATTGTGTGACCTTATCTTTAAATATATCTAACCCAATATGATGTATCTATTTCAAGTCATATATGTTACTTTTACCTGAGTTATGAGTGCTAAGTACTAGAATATTCTAAAGAAATATATGTGTCCTAGTGAGCTGTGCCCATTAGTGAAATATAACTTATGAGTGCCAAATGGAAGAGCTGCTTGGAGGGTGGATTTAAAGTCTTATGTCATTGGTGCAAATAATTATATAAAATTAAAAGGTACTTCTTTCACTGTACATGAGTGTCTTCTTGTAATTTCTGGATTCATACTAACAACTAGTATCTATTTTTTTTTTTTAATTTTTTTTTTCAACGTTTATTTATTTTTTGGACAGAGAGAGACAGAGCATGAACAGGGGAGGGGCAGAGAGAGAGGGAGACACAGAATCGGAAACAGGCTCCAGGCTCTGAGCCATCAGCCCAGAGCCTGACGCGGGGCTCGAACTCACGGACCGCGAGATCGTGACCTGGCTGAAGTCGGACGCTTAACCGACTGCGCCACCCAGGCGCCCCAACTAGTATCTATTTAACATGACTTGACTCTTGAGATCCAATGGGTCCCTCTTTGAAAACACGCATTTTTTTCCCTCACCAAACTGGGTTTTGCTATTTAACCCTGCCATTCTTAGCCATCCTGGGCTGCATGAGCACCGTTATATTTTTCATCAATGTTTTTAAATGACTGGGTTCACTATTCCAATCTGAGTTAGAGATTAGGTGGTATCTTATATCCTCTTCTTACAAGTATAGAGATAAAGAAAAGAAGATTTGCATGTTGTAGTTGTTACGAGTTTTGATTGGGAGGCTGTTAGGTTTGTGGTGGGGCTGTGCTGCCTTAGTCATGTTATGTAAGCTTATAACCCTTTCTGGGGCTAATAGCTTTGTATATGCTTCCAGGATGTATGTGTACATGTATGCATGCATATATATATATGTATATACATGTGTGTATATATATATATATGTTTATGCATGTATATGTATACATGCGCGCGCGTGTGTGTGTGTGTAATGGGAAGAAGTAGAGTTGAGGTGAGAGAAAAGAAATGGACATGATCTTAAAGCATCTGATCTGTTTTTTGAGGTGGTGGTGGAAAAGATTTATAATACATAACAAACACAGTTTACTGTAAGTCTAAATGCTATATATTTTTGCTACTTTTTATTACATACTTAGAATAAAAATGAATAAATGTTTGCAATTTTTTTCTCTTCTCTTCTCTTCTCTTCTCTTCTCTTCTCTTCTCTTCTCTTCTCTTCTCTTCTCTGTCTCCTCTCCTCTCCTCTCCTCTCCTCTCCTCTCCTCCCTCTCCTCCCCTCCCCTTTCCTCTCCTCTTTTCTTTTTTCTTCTTTTCTCTTTTCTTTTCTTTGTTTTTAATGGCTTGAACTAGGCCTGCACCCAGCTTATGCAGTTGGGCAGGGCTATGAAAAAGCAAAATCTCCTTGCAACTTAAGTTTGAAAAAATGTGCCTTTACACTTATCCTAGCTTTCTTTATTTTTTGCTTCCCATGCAAAATTAAGTTAAATGGGCTTGCCTACCTTTAATTATTTTAAATAAAATGAGGAAGTCCAGACAGTAGGTCCTGAAAATGAACACTGCACATGAACACATGAGTTTTCTAACTGAAGAGAGACTTGAATACAAAAGTACTCTTGGGTGGACTGTAATGTGTTTTACCATGGAAACCACAAACTTGTGTATTTCCAGCTACCTGCAAGCCTTGATTACCAGGGAGTGACAAGAACATAAATGCAACTATTGAACAGCTATCAGCATTATGTATAATGAAAGAAAATTGATAAGTGATTAGCACCCCAGATTCTTCCCTCATTACCAATACATCACTACATATATACATTCAAACACACACATACACATATCCGTGTGCATATATGTGTGCGTATGTGTTGTGAGTATGTATCTATACTACCTGGGTTATCTTTCCAAAAATGATGTTGTTTTAAATTTCATTTTAAAAATCAGAGAACATCCGGGCACCTGGGTGGCTCAGTCGGTTAAGCGTCCAACTTTGGCTCAGGTCATGATCTCACAGTTCATGAGTTTGAGCTCTGCACAGGGCTCTGTGCTGAGAGCTTGGAGCCTGGAGCCTGCTTTGGAGTCTGTGTTTCCCTCTCTCTCTGTCACTCCCCTGCTCGTGCTCTGTCTCTCTCTCTTTCAAACATAATAAATAAATGTTAAAAAAAATTTTTTAAATAAGAGAATACTATTGAAAGTCATCAGAATTAATCTCTGAGTTCTCATAAGATGTTACTGACTTAAAGAAGGTGAGAAACTTAGGCTTGAGTAATTATGAAAAGAATTGGATAGGCAAAAAGAGAGGTTGGAAAATTTAGGAGGGACTTAAGAGTATTTAAAGTGAACTTAATTTTGTGCATGTAGTAAAGGTTGGAAGCTGGGTAGAAACCCGTTGGAAGCACTTGAGCAAGAACTGGTGAAGTTATTTTTTTAAGATGAAGAATTGATGGTAGGCTTATTCATTCATTTATTTATTTTTTTTTATAAGGCTCCCTTTGAATGGTTGGCGTATTAAATAAATTAGTTACCAGAAGTTAGGAGTGAATATTTGGAAATAGATACCTGGGTTAGAGTCAATATTCAAAGGGCACAACTAAACAAATACTTGTCTTTATCCCTTGGTAGGTCTGGTGTTTGCAATGCTCTTTTGTAATATTTCACAAATGACCCAGAACTCTCCTAATAATGAAGAGTCTACTGGTGAGGAAGCAGGAGGCAAGAAGAAGTAATGGAAAGAACAGTGTCCCAATTCTGCCCCAGTACTAGCTATGAATTTGGGCAATTCACTAAAATTCTTTGAATTAAAGTATCTTTTTCTATAGAATAAAATTGATGACTGCCTTAACCAAGCCATATCAACATTGTAAAAATTAAGTATGATAGTGTATTTTTTTCCGAAATATTAATAAAAATCATGGGGAGATAGGGCAAATAAGTAAATCTAAATAATATTGAAACAAAAATAGAAACCCACAGGGAATTATCTTTAATTATAAGGAAGATCAAGTTGGAATAAGAAGGAGCTTCTAAGGATTGAGCTCACTACAAACCCAGGGTTTGCATCCTCAAATAGTTTAATGTAAGGAAGGAAAGGAAAATGCTTTTTATCGCTCCTACTGTACTATCCACAGAGAGTCCATAAGGTTTGTACCAAAGATAGAACTGGGGACCAATCTACCCTTTCATTCAGGTCTTCAGTCAGTCATAGTTAATGCCTAAAAGGTCCCAAGTAATAATGTGGCAGGCTAAAGATGCAATCGTGAACAAAACAATACATTCCTGGCCCTCTTGGAACTTACATTCTAATGGACTTACTTCATAGAACTGAGAAATGCTACTGTCACCATCATAGAAAATGATTGTATTAGTTTACAAGGATTGTCATAACCAAAAACCAGAAACTAGGTGCCTAACAACAAGAGACGTTTATTAACTCTCACCTATAGAGTAATGAAGTTGAAATCAAGTTGTTGGTAGTGCTATGCTCTCTTCAGTCTCTGAGGGAGAATCCTCGTTGCCTTTTCAGCCTCTGGTATTCCAGGTGTTCCTGAGATTGTGGCCCTAAAACTCCAGTCTCTGTCTCTGTCTTCACATGGCCATTTTTCTTCTATGTCAGTATCCAAATTTTCCTGTAATAAAGACACCAGTGGTATTAGATTAAGGACCCATCCTACTCCTGTATGATCTCATCTTAATTTAACTAATTATGTCTGCAATGACTCATTCCCACATAAGGTCACATTATGAGATACTAGGGTTAGGACTTCAACATATTTTAGGGAACATAGTTCAGTGCATAACAATGAATTTAGAGAAAATAAGGTGCACATTCACAGTAATGTGTATTTGAAAAGTTGTAATTCTCATAATCATAAACCGCATTTAAGATTAGTTGTGGTGGGAATAAAGTGAGAGAAGCTTGGCAATAGTATACGGAGAGATTTTACTTTTTCTCCTTAGTCTTTGGAGTCAGAACACCAAGCATGTAATTAGAAGGATGCCCCAGTTTAAAAACACAGAAATGATGTCAGGTGAAAACTTCTTAGACATGGGAATTGCAATGGGAGCTATGTACATTAATTTGACATCCAAATGTAGATTCTCCAAAAAAACAAAAACAAAAACAAAAAACAACCACCAACAAATAAATAGAGAGACTAGCATGTATCCACTGAACCTGCCTGCTGGACCAGAAAGTCTAGGCAGATAGTGCCTTGTTTGAAATGAGTATAGTCATAAAAACTCATGCACGGACTCTGTGACCGATATTGCAGAATCAGAGGGAGGCAGAAAGGAGCAGCACCAAGTAGAAATATAGGAAGAGTTTTCTTTTGGTAGTTCTCTATATCTGCTACAAGTTCCAAAGAGAATATTGGCAAATGTTTTGGTTTTTTAAAAATTTTTATTTATTTATTTAGTTTAAGAGAGAAAGAAGGGAGAGGGACGGATTGAAGGAGAGAGAGTATCCCAAGCAGGCTTTGCACTGTCAGTGCAGAGCCCAATGTAGGCGGGCCTCAAATCCACGAACCGCAAGATCATGATCTGAGCCAAAATCAAGAGTTGCACGCTTAACCAGCTGAGCCACCCAGGTACCCCTGCAAATATTTGACATCCTAAACAGAGCCCAAGACATTATTAGCCCTTGAAAAAAGTGAAATAGTGTTTCTGAAAGAACGGTGTGTGGACAGTCTGGGACAGAATTTTTTTGTGTGTGATTAAAGTGGTGAGGCCGACTTCAGAGTTAGTGAAGAGGAATTTTAAGAGTGAAACAAGGAAATTGGTTTTTAACAAGATCCTGCATGATCTTTATACTAAATTCGAGTAACCGGAGTAACACAATGAGAAGGAAAAAAAGTAACAAATTAAAATCAATATAAGGCAAATTGATGATGGTTACACAAAACGTCTCTATAGTCTTTAAAATTGTTACAGACTATAGAGAAATCTGGAGAGTTTTTCAATTTGTGTTTGAAGTTATCAGAATAATCTAAAGATGATAGTACATCAGTCTTAGTTATGACTATAGAAGAAAAACTCCTTAAAGTATAAGAAAATGAATCCACCAGTAAATTACCTGAATAATTAATGATTACCAAAATTATTCCAGACTTGAAAAATAATTGCATAATAGGAAAACTGTTGAAATAATTCACCAAATCAATGTCAAAAAAAAAAAAATCCCAGCAAGGTACTATCAGTTTGATAGAGTCAAGTTAGTTTTTGATAACAATCAATATCCCTCTACTCCTGATATAATTTTTAGTAAAATAGGAATATTTATTGAAATTCCAGGGTCAACAATATAATAATTGCTAAAGCACAAGAGGCCTTTTAAGAACACAAACTGCAGTTGGTATTTTTTCTTCAATAAATGCTAGTCAGTATAACAGCTAAATGTAAACAGAAATATTGGAAATTTTTAGATGGCATGATTGTCCGCCCAGAGAACCCAAGCAATAAACCTGAAAAATAATATTACTACATATAAAGGAATTCAACATGGTAACCATTTACAATACCAAAACCAAAAGTTAAAGGTTGGAACAAAACCGTTTAAAAATAGCAACCAAAATTATAAAATACTCAGAAATAAATGTCACAAAGAAATATAGGATCTATGCAAATAAAACAATAAAATATTGACCACTATAAAGCTAATATTATTAAACAATGAAAATGTGTCGATGGGAGAAGATACCACTTAGTAATTGCTTTTCTACTTTATTTTTATTAAGTACAATCATAATTCCACTATTATATTGGGGTAAATGTGACTAAAACCATGAGGTTCTGGGGAAGTCCAGAAGGAGTGCACTAAGTTGACCTATTTGTATAGAGGTAAATTTGGAGAGATGGGAGGAGAGGGTTTAGAAGGAAGGAAGGAAAGGAGGAAGGGAAGGAGGAAGGGGAGAAGGAAAAAAGGAAAAGCATATTTAAATCTGGAAAGGGAAATACAAAGAGGTTATATAAAATAAATTAAAATCATGAAAAAAATTAGGAAGGATAAACACTAAACTCTGTTAGAGAACTAGATTAATTAAGAGTTTTACTTCATATAATATTATAATGAGAAAGGAATCTGGAAGTCATTTAATGAGAGAATTTGTCTCATGCAAAATTGTCTTTATCTCAGGAAAAAAAGTCACTGCATTACAAGCTGTTCCAATCTTTGGCACAATTATATACATTGGAGGGCTCTCCACTTCACAATGATGGTCATTTCATAATTGGGTAATCTCATTCGTAATTCTCCTATTTCTCTATGATTAATTATATACAATAGAGGATCATGTATTGAGTCATGTCATGTTAATAGTGGTAACCACTTTAATATTTAAAGACAACCTTTGAGGCGCCTGGGTGGTTCAGTTGATAGAGCATCTGACTTCAGCTCAGGTCATGATCTCAGGGCTTGGGCGTTTTAGCCCTGTGTGGGGATCAGTGCTGATTGTTCAGAGCCTAGAGCCTGCTTTGGATTCTGGTCTCTGTCTCTCTCTGCCCCTCCCCTGCTCACACTCTGTCTCTTTCTCAAAAGTAAATAAACATTTAAAAAATTTTTTTAAAAATAAAGATAACCCTTATATTACTGCTAACTGTTCATATTTAGGCTAAACATTTCCAGTTCCTTAAACTTTTCCTCATATGAGACACTTCCCAGAATCTCATTATTTTGCATCAGGCTTTAAATGATCTCCTTTTAGTTAAACCTTTGTTATATACCCAGTACTGAAGTTCAGATATTATCAGAAGAATGGACTCCTATTCTTATAAACTTGTTAACTCTAGAGCAAATCTGCACGGTCTTTGCTGAATTATTGTGTAATAGCCGTACGTCCTTTCAAATTTCCTTTTCTATCTATATCAAATTTGAAATAATTTAGCTTGATATCAGTGTTACAATTACTTTATTTAAAATGAACTGCCTTTTCAATCAAAAAAATGAGGGAAAAGACTCAGTGATGGATTCTAAGATGCTACTGGAGTTCTGTGTCTCTATGTGTGTGCATGCACTTATGTGGCGTGTGTATGTAAGTTTGTGTATGTGTGTATGGGAGTGTGTACATGCACATAGACATGCATATGTAAGTGTTCTGCTAGAGGATATTGCAATTATTTTATTGAAGTATAGTTGACATACAACATTATACTAGTTTCAGATGTAAACATAATGATTGGACATTTGTATACAGTGATCACCACAATGAATCTAGTTATCGTCTATCTCCGGAGTTAGAAAACATTTCTTGTGATGAGAATTTCTAAGATTTACTCTTTTTCTGATGTGTATGTATTTATTTTGAGAGAGAGCAAGAGCACAAGTCGGGGAGGGGAAGAGAGAGAGGGAGAGACAGAATGCCAAACAGGCTCTATGCTGTCAGCTCAGAGCCTGATGCGGGGCTTGATCTCTTGAACCTTGTGATCATGAGCTAAGCTGAAATCCAGTCTGCTGCTTAGCCCACTGAGCCACCCAGGCACCCCTAAGATTAACTTTCTTACCAACTTTCAAATTTGCAGTACATTAATATTGACCATAGTCACCCTGCTGTCCACTATATCCCCATTAAATTCCACTTAAATTTGTAATCTAAAAAATGCAACAAATGAACAAACAAAATGGAACAAAATTCAGAGATACAGAGAACAGAATGGTGGTTGCCAGAGAGGATGGCAGTTGGGAGGTGCAAAATAGGTGAAGGGAATTAAGAGTTACAAAATACCAGTTACATGGGGCACCTGGGTGGCTCAGTTGGTTAAGTGTCCAACTTCAGCTCAGGTCATGATCTCACGGTTCATGAGTTCAAGCCCCACGTCGGACTCTGTGCTGACAGCTCAGAGCCTGGAGCCTGCTCCGGATTCTGCATCTCCCTCTCTCTCTGTTCCTCCCCTGCTCATGCTCTGTCTTTCTCTCTCAAAAATAAACAAACATTAAACAAATTTCAAAATACCAGTTACAAAAGATCAAAATTTTGTGATGTTAGGAAAAATGAAATTAAGTGTAATGTTTGTGTAAACAAAGTGCGTTTGTAGCTGTTTTCGAATCATAACTTAAAATAAATAAATGTATTTGAGACCATTAAGAAAATTGCAAATGATGATCATTAACAAATCATCATGAACATGATATTTATTTTCACTCAATATTTAAAAAATATTAGTTATGTCTTAAAATTTTTTTTAATGTTTATTTTTGAGAGAGAGAGAGAGAGAGACAGAGCCCAAGCAGGGGAGGGACAGAGAGAGAGGGAGACACAAAATCGGAAGTAGGTTCCAGGATCTGAGCCCTCAGCACAGATCCTGATGTCAGGCTTGAACTCACAGACTGTGAGATCATGACCTGAGCCACGGGCGCTTAGCAGGCTGAGCCACCCAGACACTCCTAAAATATTGTGTCTTGTCACATGAGAGAAGTTTGCTGGAATTTAGGGAGAAAGCAAATGTATTTATTAGCATGCTACTATTTTTTTAGACTGTTGATAATATTTTATTATACATCACATATATAATATTCAGTTCCTTCATTGTTTTGTCTGGTTTATAACATATCTATGTTGACTTTAACATTCTACTTGTCATTACTACCCTTTGTTGATCATGTGTATATTAATATGAGCCTAAGTAAATAAATAAA